CTATAGCGACGTTTTTGTGTTTGGTTGGTGTTATCTTCTTGTTGACGTTCCAGTGGTGTTGATGTTGAAGTACATCCGACATATCGAATGAAAAGAATATCATCCGGTTTTTTAGATGAAAGATAATCATCAAACCTGATTTAATCAAAGTATTTATAGATGACGCATGTTTAGTATTTGGCGTACAATATATATCTTCTTAAATAGTAAAAATAATATGATATTATTACCTTTGAATATATAGTTCGTCAAAGTATTCAATACTGTAATCCTGCAAGACTCTTCTAAATTGTTCGCACGTAAGACTTATGCTACGAACATAGAATTGAGTAAGTGAATCATTTTTTTTGGGTATGCGTGTATTATTCAACTCGAGTTTGGCTTGAAGAATGTAAGCCATAATTTCATCACTGACTGAAGCCGAATCTTGAGCAAATTGCAAGAATTGTGCATCATTGTTGCTCATCACAAGTTTTGAAATAACGTACTGAGACGTGTTGCCTGGATCTAGTTGACTTTCTGCAGCACGTTGTTTAATAAGTGAAATAGTTTGTTCAAGAGGTGTAAAGGTTTCGCTCGCCATCGTATTGTTCTCCATAATAAACAAGCATTGTGGATCTGAATCGCGATTGGGGTTTATATAGGCTCATTTTTTTAGCAGACCAGGAAAAAAGACAAAGAAACAAAGGTACCGTTCCTAATTTTTTTTTATCGTCAGCCAAAAAAAAATATAAAAGTCCTCCAAATATATATAACATCCGTTGAAAGTTGTCTGATACAATGAGAATTTGTCGTCACTCCGTAGCAAACAACAAGTAGCCTTGTTCATCTATAGTTTGTTAGGTCGAGTGACCACAAATTCTCATTGTATCAGACGTCTTCCAACTAATATTATATATTTTGTGGAAGATGTAACATCTGACGACTAGAGATATTATTTACCATCATGGTTAACTCGTTTATCCCGGATTACCCTATTGTCAAGTAACCAACACGTCTTCAAATAATCTGCGAAGAAATTATCATTGATGACTAATAATTAGATTAGTTAAAATAAATAATAGGTTATTATTATTGCATTACTCTATTTATTCGAGCTACTGTTTTTATATTTCGAACTACACACATAACTTGAATCAAACCATTGCTTCTCTCTATTTTCTGAAGGCCTCATAAAGTTCTTTTCTATTGTACCTTTAAATTTGCAACCTCATTTACTTGTATAAGAAGGTGACGCCAAAAACCAAGCTATTCTCATTTTTAGCCTATACGTCACCCCCGCCCCTTTGTTAGTCCCAGATTTTTTTAGGGACAAATTTCAAGTTATGCCGAGGTACACCTTATCTTTTTTTTCAGCTCTATAAAATAAAAATATTAGCCATATTCCACTTCTCTATCTTTTTGGTCTTCTTTTCTCTTTCTGTGACATTACCCTTCAATACTTTCTCTTTTAATTTAGTCTACCCCTACTTCATCCCCTTCATTGTTATCTTTGTACTGTGGCTTTCGATACACCCTTTTCTTGTTGCCCTGCTGCGGGCTTTTCAGTTCCTCTCCTTGTGAACAGACGAGAGCAAAAAGCTGCAATCAGTGCGTGTTCAATTTAATTTCTTCATTAATAGATCATTTCAACGTAGTTTGATATCAACACTGGAACACCAGCAGGAAGACAACACTAGCAAAAAACAAAGGCGCCGATATAGCAGTATTTGTCGTTTTATTGAGAAGCATGGATTAGCAAGAAATCAAGTTGTTTATTCGTCGTTTCCTTTACTGGAAGTTTAAGGTCAATATGGTGTATTCGATGACCCTAATCGGCAACCAATATACTTATGTCCAGGCAGCTTAACTTTGAAGCTCCCCCATTGATAAAACTGAACAAGTCGTGATATACTCATGAAGTCATAATCAGGCGGTTTTTATTATCAATATTCACCATCAGATGATGACCGTTGAATCAATCAGTAACTTCAATTTTGATCATGCACGGATGTATTTAACAGAATCGGCAACTCCGCCCACCCGACCTGATTCACACAAGGAACAAATCGCCATGATTTATCAGGGACTACTGGCCAAAAAAGTGACCAATTCGTATATACGGTTTCTTGCAGAAGCTGTGATTCGAAAAATGGATTGTCTTATAACAGCTGTTATTAGGGATCTTAGTACAATCCGGATTTATAAACCGATCCGTTTTTCATACGGATTGGATCGGATTTGGATTGTGTCTCAATGGATTCGGATCGGATTCGGATCGTAATTCTACAATCCGGATTGTAAACGGATTGAGATATATGGATCCGTCGGATTTTTCTGATCCGTCATTATAATTATAGAGTAATGGATCAAAGTTTTAACAATGCTGTGGTAAGGTATATATATATATTCAAATAAAGAAGAGAGTAAGTTTTTGTATATTATTATATACTTGAATAGAGCAGTTGAAAAGAAAAGTAGTAATGGCTTTAATATAGAAAAAAAAAATCTGAAAAGAAAGAAACAAAAATTGAAGATTAAAAAGAGAGATTAATGATCTAATAATGATAAAGAAAATTATGAACTTTTATTTGGTCGTAAACAGAAAAGGTAAACTTATACCTCTTTTTTTTTTCAGCACACCGGAAATTTACTACTTGCCCCCACAAAAAAAAATCCACATCATGTTATATTTCTACCACAAAAACTTATTTTCTGCACCACCATAACTTTTTTTTCACTATAAACTTTTTTATCACTATAACTTTTTTTCTACTAGAACTCATTTTCCCACTATAACTTTTATCACTACAATTCTTTTTTTATTATAACTTATTTATTTCCTATTATGTTTTTGAAACCAAAATAATAAAATCATCTACCTCTGTTACCAATGTTTTACTTTTCTTAAACGATCTCAAACGACTACCATACACAATCTTGTAAAATACCTTCTCTCATGAAAAAATACTGTGACATCTACTATATAGCCTAAATTTTAATCTAATTGATTCTTTTGCATTACGGATTACGGATTCAATCCGGATTTTTACGAAACGGATTCGGATTGCAATTCTCTAATCCGTGGACAATCCGGATTTCCGAAAATCCGATCCGGATCGGTCTACTAAGAACCCTACACATAACTACCTAATTATAATATAAACTGACAAGCAAAGCCTATAATAAATACATGTCGGTTGCTTTACAAATAATCATCACTATATAAATAATAATTATAACAAATTACTCATAAATGATATATATCATAAAGAAAATTATCAAGCATAAAAAATGTTTGCTCACCTATTTAATAGTATACAATAATATATATCCTCAATGGATAGGAAATATAAAATAGAAACATATATATATATAGACTTACATTTAATTGAATTCTTTTAATCACATCTTTTATAATCAATCCATAATAAAAGACATATATATTTCTCACACTATTTACTCTTATTATTCATTTCTTTCTATTCAAACTTTATTTTACTTAATTCTCTACAATCACTTATCTCTATATATATTTCACCTATATCTCAGAAATGCTCATTATATAGGTTAATCTTGAAAGTTTTAGCAACTGTTAAGTTTATAATTCTTAGAATATGTTTTTTCTTTGTTCCAACTATAACATTTCCCTTCCTTTAAATACATAAGTTATTCTGACTATAATGCATTCCTTTTTTATATTGTTAGTATTTCTCTCTCTATGTTGAACACAGTTATATTTTTTGTGTACAATTGCTATTCTGTTTTCTCCAACCTTATACTACTACCTACCTCTCTATTGAGTCCTTTTATTTTTTTCTCCTCTTTTAAAAGATAAATATATCTTATGAGAAAAAAGATAATATAATGTAGGTATGATTATAGTTCCTATAATTGTTGAGTTGAAGTAAATGCTTTATAATGGTTCTTTATTATTAAAAAAAGAAAGAATATAGTGGGAAAAGAATCAACCCAGCTGTATTTTTTTTCTTACTATAGAAGAGTGCAGCTAAATAACCCCCTTAAGCTATGCATGATTTTTTTACTGCTCAACAATAGTTATCTTTTATATAGATTATTACTATATGTTGTAGATGTTATATAGCATATGTCAATCCTTCATCTTAAATAATTTAAATATAGAGTAAATGTAAAAAACACTACAATAATCTCACATTAGTTACTTTCTAAATACATAAATAATAAATTTACTATAATGACACTTTATAAACAATATATAAATATAATAATGAAATATAATTTACTTATTTATAATCATATAACATTATCTACAAATACAGGAAAATACACATCTAAGACATATATATATAAAACTTACTTATATTTTATGTAGCCTACTTATATGTAATAGAAATAATAACTTTATATATCTTTATTTTCTATATTTATATCTTTTATCTTTTCATCTTAATATTATTTTTATATAATAAAACACCTAAAAAATTCTCACAAGACCTTCTGTTGTCATTTTTTATTCTTACCTTATTTTCGTATTAAATTTATATCCATAAATACTACAGTGGAGACTATATATGATATAAAAATAAATATGCTATAAGTGATGATAATTAGATACTATATCAGTAAATATTTAGTAGCAAAGCATGAAATAAAAAACTTTGAGTACAGAAATTAATGATATAGATGATAAATAAAAAAATATTGAGCATGAAATATTTTACTTTTACCTTAAATACAAAAGTATTACTCTTGAAAAAAATACTATTCTTAAATATAAAAACTATTTACCCAGAATTAAAAGACACTATCTATAAATTCAAAAATAAATACTTGTAAATATAAAAAGCATTTACCTCATAATTGAAAAACACTATCTCTAATTTACAAAAGAATTTCCATGGAATCAAAAACGTCATCCCCAAAATCAAAACCACCATAGTTAACTTCTTCTAAAAAATCCTATCTATTAAAACTTTTTTGTATCTTTAAATATATTTTTTCATGATGTGTTATTACTACAGAGTTGTAAGTCATCGTGTGCCCCATTGGCCTAATTGGATAAGGCGTCGGACTTCTAATCCGAAGATTCTGGGTTCGACCCCCAGATGGGGCTCAACATTGTAGCTTGAGCATTAAAAAATAATTTTTTTTATTTTTTTTTATTGTCATGGTGTTACCTTCTTTCTCGTAATTATTGATCAGTTAGTTATTTTTAATAATAATACCGATTATTATGCTTTCTTACTGCGGCTCTCTTTTTATTCATTATCATCTGCAGTAACAATATCATTATTATTTAGTATTATTATTATGATCCGCAGTAGTTTAGAAAATATATAGATATAAGATTATTTTATTAAATAAAAAGACATCTTTTATCTACCCTACATTTTATCTATTATCTTTGTGGTCTTTTCCTGTGTGGTTATATTACTCTTCGTGGTTACATTATCCGTCGTATTTACATTCTCTCTTTGTGGTTCTCTCTCCGTGGTTTTATCAATAAAAAATACGACACCTTGTCATAATAGTAGCTAAAAGAATTAGTAGTTTACCATTCGTGTTGTAATTATTAATTGGCTGTACTTCTTTTTTACTGCAGCTTCTTTTCTCATTTCTTACTATATCTGCAATAACATTATTATTATTCTTATTATTATTATCTGCAGTAATATCATTACTAATCATTATTATTATACATCAATATTATATTCTTTATTACATCTGCAGTAGTTTAGAAAATATATAAATAGTCGATTATTTTATTGAATAAAAACATTATCTTCTACATTATCCTTTATTTCTTCTATTTCCTTTTACTACTTTATATTATATTTAATTTGGTCTGGTATTGTTCCGCCATAGAAATATTATGACAACCTTTCATGTTGTAATTCTAATACTAATTATACATCTTTTACTGCAGCTCTTTTTTCTCTGCTTATTATAACCGCAGCACTTCTTTATACAATGACTCATATTCATTATGAGCATTTAACTATTCCCTTATTATCCGCAGTAATACTATTATTATATACATCAATAGCAAATTATATTATCTACATCAGCAGTAGTTTTAGAAATATATAAGTAGTAGATCATTTTATTAAATAAAAAAGGTATCAACATATTATCTTTTATTCTTTTACTTCCTCTTACTTTCTCTTACTATTTCTATTTTATTTGGCTTGGTACTGCTCCACCATAAAAGTTAATATGACAGTAGTGCTTTAATAAATCTATGACAGAACAATACCAAGCCAAATAAAATATAGTGTATAAGTAATAAAAGGAAACAAAAGAAATAAAGGATACTGTAAAAGATAATGTTTTTATTTAATAGAATAATCAACTATTTATATATTTCTAAACTACTGCAGATGTAAAGAATATAATAGTAATAATGTATAATAATAATAATTAATAATAATATTACTGCAGATGAATAAAGGTTATAATATTATGAATGATGATGATAGTAATATTAATAATATTACTGTAGATTATAATGATAAGAATAATAATAATGTTACTGCAGATATAATAAGAGATGAGAAAAGAAGCTGCAGTAAAAAAGAAGTATAACCAGTATTAAAAATAGCTGATTAATAATTACAACATAAATAGTAATACCAAATATTTTGACTATGACAGTAGCCATAAAAAGTACTAAATCTACTTTTCCTTTTTTATCCTGTCATAGTAAAAAATAACAGTTATATTCATTGTTGTATCCAACACATATTATTCATAAAGATAATTATTTGTCATGTTAATTATTAAAGTATAGTGTATCTTTAATTATGCTTTGCTGACACTTCGTGTATTTCTCTATTTGAACCATGACTTATAAGAACACAGAAGTCCATCTTCTATAATGGCATAAGATAACGGCTGCGTAGATATATCACATCGTCAACCACTCAAAGTCTAATCTTAATATTATTAATCTTATATTCATAATTCACATGGCTATAACAAATATAAATCTTACGTATACACATATCAATATATCCCACTGATAATAAGATTCATATAAATAGAGATAATATTTTATTTTAATAAACTTCAGTTCAATTATTGTTCTTTTGGGTCTTGTTGAGTTTTTAACGTCTCTTTTATTTCATTAAATTTCTATTGATATAACATTCATTTTTCTTTTTATATTATTTTGTGTTACTCCTTTTACAAAGACATTTGATATTTATAATGCCATGTAGTTATATCTATACCACTATCACTTTACTATATTATCCATCATTTGAACACATATACATTCCATAGTCACGAACCCATATTCAATTCATAATCATTGCACATATATTATTATTATTAGTCTTTATACATATTTGTTATTATTCATAGTGTTTAGAAAAATATATAAATATCCGTTCATAATTAAAACAATAAACATTATCTTTCAACTTATATTTTACTCTTTAATTGACTTTTCTTCTATTATATTTCTATTGGCTATGGTATTCATCTGCATATATTATGACAATCCATTTGTAATACTTCTTCTGTAAATGTATTTTATTTTCATATTGCCATGTAGTTAATCTATATGACCGTCACATCATCATAATAATTATTCAAATACATAGTCATCCCCCAGCCACAAACATGTATATTATCATTATTAGTTTGTCATCTATATCTTATTGGTAGTTTAGGAAATATATAAATACCCCTTCACATATTGAATAAAAAATTATCTTTCAACTTACATACTATTCTTTCATTATCTTTTGTTCTATTCTATTTCTATTGGCTATGGTACTGATCCACCAAAAATAATATGACACATAGAAGGTAACACTAAAAAATATTTTGGCTATAGCAGCAATATTGTTATATTTTTATTAATAAAACTACAGAGAGAGAACCACAAAGAGAGAATCTAAATATGATGGATAATATAACCACATAGGAAAAGACCACAAAGGTAATAGATAGAATGTAGGGTAGATAAAAGATGTCTTTTTATTTAATAAAATAATCTCATATTTATATGTTTTCTAAACTACTGCAGATGATAATGATAATAAAAATAAGAATGATAATATTACTGCAGATGATAATGGATAAAAAGGGACCCATAGTAAAAAAGAAGTATAATTAGTATTTTAAAAATAACCAATCAATTGTCATAATATTTTTGGCGGATCAATACCATAGCCAATAGAAAATAGAATAGAGCAAAAGATAATTAAGAATAAAATATAAATTGAAAGATATTGTTTATTGTTTTAATTATGAACAGCTATTTATATGTTTTCCTAGCTATTATGAATAATGATAAATATATGTAAGACTAATAATAATGATATACGTGGAATGATTGTAGATTGAATATGTGTTCGTGACTATGCAATGTATACATGTTCAAATAGATAATATAGTAAAGTGATGGTGATATGGATATAACTATATGGCATCATAAAAATCAAATATCTTTATGAAAGAAGTAACACAAAAATAATCCGAAAAGGAAAATGAATGTAACTGTTACTTTTGACTATGACACTTCTACTAGATGGTAGTACTGTCATAGCCAAAATAATTAGTTTACCAATCATGTTGTAATTATTAATCAGTTATTTTTAATACCGATTATACTTCTTTTTACTGCGGCTTCTTTTCTCATTTGTAACTATATCTGTTATTATTATCATCCGCAGTAATATTATTAATATTACTATTATTATCATTCATAGTACTATTATCATTATTCATCCACAGTAATATCATTATTAATCATTATTATCATACATCATTATTATATTCTTTACATCCACAGTAGTTTAGAAAATATATAAATAGTCGATTATTTTATTAAATAAAAACATCATCTTTACATTATCTTTTATTCTTTTATTTTCCTTTTATTACTTATATTTTGATTGGCTTGGCATTGTTCCGCCATAAAAATATTACGACAGTACAAAAGTAACACAAAACAACTTTTAACAAAAATTACAAAAGATTACTTCTAATAAATAGAAGATCATTTGTTGTGAGTGAGCAAGGTAGGGGTCGAACCTACGATCTCCTGATTCGTAGTCAGGCGCCTTATCCATTTGGCCACATGCCCATTTGTTGACTGTACAATCTATAACTAAAACATAACAAATAAATATATTTTTATTACATAATACTGATAAATATTAATTAAATATTTTTTTTTGAATTTCTAATAATTTATAATAAAATATTATAATTCCGACATAGTACTTATATTTTCTCTACTAAATATTTCTGACAAATATATAAATTGATATATTATATATATAATAATAAGAAAAATCTACCTAAGTATATGAATTTAATACTAGGACAGCTTCTATAGCTAATATAGCAGCTTATAAAATTTTTCACTCTCCGAAGTATAATTAAAGTATTAGAGGGAAAAAAAAGATTAAGATATATACTATATTAGATAATTTTAATTCTTAGGGACACCCTACTTTTATATTTTTTCAAAATAAATAATAATCTAATATAATTACGTCATATCCAGACATTTATATACTATATATACAGTTATTATCATTATATTTTATGAAACTTATAGTAGCAGTTCACCTTTTTATGAATAACATTTAATATTTCTTATCTTTTCTCACTATACCATCATTATGTACACAAGTGGAAGCTATAAATTACATGAAGATAAAACAAATAATGAATATTATATACTTTTAATAATATATGTGAGTGGTCAAAGAAATAGTAATTGGTGTTGATAGCACTGGTATTTTAGTTTATATGGTCTAAGAACCTGCTTGACAACTTTTCATTTATAGGGTGTCTGTGGCAACTCTCTGTATAGAATATAGAAGCTAATAATCAAAATTGAGCAATTTGTAAAAGAACAAGGAACAAGAGAATAATATTCAAAACTCTAAGAAGACTTTCTTTATATAATATCTTTCTAATAGATAAAAAGAGTTGTTAAATGGGCTTTATATTACTACTCTATATAAAAATATAAGTAATAATATTCCTAATAATACAAAAGATAATGATATAAAAATAGAGAGTTTATTAAATGATACTAAAAACACAGTATTTTATAACTATTAATATAAAATGTCCTTTTTGTTTTAA